AATTAATCTTGCAACCTGGGAAAGAGGCACAGAGCTTTCTGGATACTCTGCATTTACACAGTGGATAAGGACCCCTTAGTGCATGTTTTTTTTAATCTTCTTTCATAGCCAGAATACTGGGTACTCAGTCATACATCCTTAAGTCCAATGTTTCCAAATATCTGGGAGATTCAGAGGCCAACTTTCAGTCTTTTCATGTATCAAGAGCATGTACCAGAAGAGATTTTCTATGCATCTCATACATTCTTTTAAGCTGTATTATTACAACGATATTCTTCTACCTCCAGGAATTAGCTTAAAATATTTTCCTACTGTTTTTGTCCTTAAAAAGATATTTCTAAGCTTTCTTTTGTATCTGGTGTCATCAAACTTACCACTAAAAGCCAATGAAAACTATTACCCCTAGAAGCCAGTGAAAACTGTTCTCTTTTCCCTGTGAAATGGGACAAAGTTTTGCCCATTACCTAACCAAACTGCTTTCTCAAAAGTCTTATTCTCTCTAGGCCCTACGAGGGTTTTATATTTGAATCTGGCATTAACCAATTCAAGGCAGAATGCTTTGAATTACCTCCGCTTGATGAAATTCCTACTAGTCATTTTCTTTGCAGGGAGAAGGTCTGTGTGGATAGCTGTTTTCAGAAATTGTTACAGATCATGGCAGGTGCAAATTTTCAGTTTTTTCCAGCTGAAAGAACTCTCTATGTCCTTCTTTCCTTCCCGTTTCTGTCCCCCTTACCCTCCTAAATCTTCAGTTTGTTTGACACAAAGCATTTCATTTGACCTGAAAGTTTGTCTAAGAGTACTAGAAACTGAGTTCTGTTTTCTTTTCTATCAGAGTGAGAGCATTGTCCTCATTTTTTTCTTTCTCTAAGGGGATCTGTAAATTTGCCTCAGTTAGCAGGAGAATGCTCTTCCCATCTAGCACTAGGCTTTGGTTGTACTAGCATGAGCCTTACTGTGCTTTGCAGAAGTGAAAAAGAGTGGGGAGCTATTATGCTGTTCATCTGGGAAGTACCCGTAGGTTCAAATTTGCTAATAGTTTGAGATTACTAAGGTACAGCTGTCTTTTTTTTCAGCTAATACATTTGCCAAAAACAGCAAGGATTCTCATGAGTGCTAAGAGAAAGCAGTGTTATCGAGGCTGACATAAGGAATACACACTGGCTGTAATCTTTATTATTCATATGCATTACCTCTCCAGAACCACAAAATATCCTCCTCATGTGTCTTTCAATTTCCATGCCTCATGTCAGATAGAGAGTCTCAAAACAAAGCAAAACTGAGTTTAAGTGCTTAAGTGGTATCACCTACTTCTGTGCTGGTTTGTTGGTCTTAATGAGTGGCACCAAATCTGCCAATTACTGGTCACTTTCACAGCGTCGACTTAAGGAAGCAATACGATCACTGCTAGTAATGCCTAGCTGTACCTGTATGATACTGTATTACAGTACTAATACTTGTATTTGGTAAAGGTTGCATGGCTGTAGTGAACATATCTTGCTTTTTCTGGCAGATCCATTTTCCTCAGTGTTTCGGTCAAGAATGTTTGGCTAGGTTCATAAGTGATGGTTCCCCATTTTAAGGCTTTATTCCTGCTTTTGACCTGAGCACAGTTTGCTCCCCAGCTCTGAGAACCTCTGTTGCCTGAACTAGTGAGAGGCAGCAGGCGTGTTTTTGCCCTTACTGTTCCTTCTTGGGGGGTTGCAAGCTAAGATACAGGAAATGTAAAACACGAGTGTTTGGGAAAGGGATATATAGTTGAGTACGGTATTTGAACACACTGTGAAAAGGCTACCAATTTCTACAGCTTTTCTGTTGAGTGGAAAATTTGAGTTTCAGGATTGTCCATCATTGCTAGTAAATCAGTCGTGGGCTCACTGTCTATCACGAATGTTTGTATAAACTAAGTGAGAAAAGACATCACCTGTGCTTCCAAATTCAAAGGTGCCTGAAAGAATCTATCAGTGGCAGATGATGCTCCAGTGCTATACTGCTTCTTGTGCTGTGAATGTTTGCCAGAAGGTAGAAAACATTTTGCAGAGATCATGTTGTTCTTCACAAAGATGATGACCAGCATCTGCATGTGGAAGACAGGCAGTGCCAGATCCATATATTGAATAAAAAGGCAGTCTAAGAATGCTGCACAAATACGGTAACCTTTGGTTAATCTGCTGCTCCTTTTATAGCCACAGGCCAATGTTAATACTGTCAAGCACTCTTGCTGGCTGTGTCACCAAGAATGGCACAGGACAGTAGATCTCCTCAAGACTTCTGATTTTGCTCTTCTCTGCCAGGTGTCTGCCTTTTCCTTTTCCATCATCTTCTTCATTGGGCCGAAGGTTTCTCTTGGGCCTGAGATCCACGAGTCAGAATTGGTTTAACTTGTTAGAGCTCTTTCTTTGTAGGAGGTTTTACAGACTGAAAGATGACCTTGGTTATGCTTCTCGTTATTTTTGAGTATCAGCTAACCTGCTCCTAATGAAGCAGAACTATAAGCTTCATTGATGCTTATAGGTTTATTCCTTTTTTTTTTTGTTTTCCGCAGTGGTGTGATATTTTGTGATGATGTCTATAGAGGCAGCTGTTCACAGACACAACATGTATATTGAAGCAAATTGATGTTTTGCATGAACGTTTTTCATACTGAAACACTCCTTTTTGGGCTTAACTTCCGAGATTTTTTCTCCCAATATTTCTACCTGAAGGGAGGAGAGCAAGGAAGAGAAGTCCCACAGGAGCACACTTCTCGTGCAAGTCACAGCTCAGCTTTTCACCTCAGCAGATTGAAAACAAGAGTTTATCCTTCCTGCATGCTTCCTCAGGCTGAAACTTCAGACCTTCCAAGGCTCGCTTTCCTTGGTTTGATCCCTTTAGATGCTTCACAGGACACATTCCCTTGTAGGGGAATTAGTTTCTCTCTCATCAGTATCGGGTTTAGCCACTGCACACAGAATTCCTCCAAGCGGGAAGGTCTAATAAGGATCATGATGAGAGATTTGTCATAATATATTTAAATATATTCAGTGCCATGACCCTTCAGAGTTTATATGCTTAAAGCTTATGGTTTAGGTCTCGCTGTAGAGTTTTCTGGTGGAAGAATGTAGGCAGAGGAGATATTTGTATCCCAACTTCTACCAGCTTGACAGGTGAAACCAGTGAATTATAACAATGACAAAGGGGATGATTTGTAGTAATTTAATGCATTGTCTGCATAGATCAGTGCACGGCATCAGTGTAACACAGATGTTGGCAGGAATGGTAAGAAGAGAGGTGGTTTGCGTGGTCAGGAAAACAGATGGTACCTGGAAAGCTTTGTGAAATGTAGCCTATGCCGCAGAAACCTCTGCAAGTCCCCGCTTTTGATACTTGTGGTGTGAGTCTGTGGGTAGCTATGACAGTGACAGGTGCTCTAGCAGCTCCTGGGGTGTTGCAGGCTGTGAAGACTGCTCTTTCTGTAAAGAGTCCGTTGATATGGGGCTGACACTGGGGCCCATGAATGGACATGCCAGCCAGTGCCAAAGGACATCGGTCCTTTGCCCGGCAGAGCAGACCTCATGAGTACGGCCCTTTACTGAGCACGCCATGTGTTTCTCTAACACAGAGAAGAGATTTCAATCCATCGCCTCCTTTCCCCCACGGCCCGGCTCTTCTCCCAGCTAGGGAGGTCGCTATTTCTTGATCCTTTGCTTCCAGGAAGGAAGAAAAGGAAGCCCAGCCTTCCCTTTCGGTACCAACTCAAGACATGGTGTGAATCGGCAACAAGCCGTCCCTTCACGGCTTCTCCTGTTTCCTGCCTTTGCTTATGAACAGCTCTTGCAAGAGCATTGCTGCTGCGGTTCCCTCCAGCTTGTCTCCCTTTGCCCTGGCTGCAGCTCTGCTGTTTCTAACTGGTGTCCTCAGCACATGCCCTCCATTGGCCTTACCGGTACTGCTGTGATGTGAGGGTCTGTTTGCACTAACCTGGGAGACAGGTGTAGAGATAGGCACAGATATGTGTGTGGTTGTGCGTGTGGGTGTGGGGGCGTGCGTGTATTATTTTTTGCTGGTTGTTTCTAAGAGGTGATTATGGTCGTTTTGTACCAGGAGTGGGCAGAGGCAGTAGCATTTTCTACTGTTGTTTTCGATGTGAATAATGGTGTTTTGCCTAAAAGAAGAGTTTGTTCAGACAGACACAGAAATGTCCTCATTTCAGAGAGGAAGCCAGCTGGGGCTGTCTTCTGCAGCCTACAGCAACATCTCCAACACCAAACGCGGTGGCTTTCCCTTTTCCCCTGATAGAGCGCTCAAGAAATAAGGCGCCTGGGAGAGAGACCAACAGTCCTGCATTTCAAGGATGCGGATAAACTTCCTGGGGTGATTTGTTGTCAATCCTTCTCCTTCTCCTTCTCCTTCTCCTTCTCCTTCTCCTTCTCCTTCTCCTTCTCCTTCTCCTTCTCCTTCTCCTTCTCCTTCTCCTTCTCCTTCTCCTTCTCCTTCTCCTTCTCCTTCTCCTTCTCCTTCTCCTTCTCCTTCTCCTTCTCCTTCTCCTTCTCCTTCTCCTTCTCCTTCTCCTTCTCCTTCTCCTTCTCCTTCTCCTTCTCCTTCTCCTTCTCCTTCTCCTTCTCCTTCTCCTTCTCCTTCTCCTTCTCCTTCTCCTTCTCCTTCTCCTTCTCCTTCTCCTTCTCCTTCTCCTTCTCCTTCTCCTTCTCCTTCTCCTTCTCCTTCTCCTTCTCCTTCTCCTTCTCCTTCTCCTTCTCCTTCTCCTTCTCCTTCTCCTTCTCCTTCTCCTTCTCCTTCTCCTTCTCCTTCTCCTTCTCCTTCTCCTTCTCCTTCTCCTTCTCCTTCTCCTTCTCCTTCTCCTTCTCCTTCTCCTTCTCCTTCTCCTTCTCCTTCTCCTTCTCCTTCTCCTTCTCCTTCTCCTTCTCCTTCTCCTTCTCCTTCTCCTTCTCCTTCTCCTTCTCCTTCTCCTTCTCCTTCTCCTTCTCCTTCTCCTTCTCCTTCTCCTTCTCCTTCTCCTTCTCCTTCTCCTTCTCCTTCTCCTTCTCCTTCTCCTTCTCCTTCTCCTTCTCCTTCTCCTTCTCCTTCTCCTTCTCCTTCTCCTTCTCCTTCTCCTTCTCCTTCTCCTTCTCCTTCTCCTTCTCCTTCTCCTTCTCCTTCTCCTTCTCCTTCTCCTTCTCCTTCTCCTTCTCCTTCTCCTTCTCCTTCTCCTTCTCCTTCTCCTTCTCCTTCTCCTTCTCCTTCTCCTTCTCCTTCTCCTTCTCCTTCTCCTTCTCCTTCTCCTTCTCCTTCTCCTTCTCCTTCTCCTTCTCCTTCTCCTTCTCCTTCTCCTTCTCCTTCTCCTTCTCCTTCTCCTTCTCCTTCTCCTTCTCCTTCTCCTTCTCCTTCTCCTTCTCCTTCTCCTTCTCCTTCTCCTTCTCCTTCTCCTTCTCCTTCTCCTTCTCCTTCTCCTTCTCCTTCTCCTTCTCCTTCTCCTTCTCCTTCTCCTTCTCCTTCTCCTTCTCCTTCTCCTTCTCCTTCTCCTTCTCCTTCTCCTTCTCCTTCTCCTTCTCCTTCTCCTTCTCCTTCTCCTTCTCCTTCTCCTTCTCCTTCTCCTTCTCCTTCTCCTTCTCCTTCTCCTTCTCCTTCTCCTTCTCCTTCTCCTTCTCCTTCTCCTTCTCCTTCTCCTTCTCCTTCTCCTTCTCCTTCTCCTTCTCCTTCTCCTTCTCCTTCTCCTTCTCCTTCTCCTTCTCCTTCTCCTTCTCCTTCTCCTTCTCCTTCTCCTTCTCCTTCTCCTTCTCCTTCTCCTTCTCCTTCTCCTTCTCCTTCTCCTTCTCCTTCTCCTTCTCCTTCTCCTTCTCCTTCTCCTTCTCCTTCTCCTTCTCCTTCTCCTTCTCCTTCTCCTTCTCCTTCTCCTTCTCCTTCTCCTTCTCCTTCTCCTTCTCCTTCTCCTTCTCCTTCTCCTTCTCCTTCTCCTTCTCCTTCTCCTTCTCCTTCTCCTTCTCCTTCTCCTTCTCCTTCTCCTTCTCCTTCTCCTTCTCCTTCTCCTTCTCCTTCTCCTTCTCCTTCTCCTTCTCCTTCTCCTTCTCCTTCTCCTTCTCCTTCTCCTTCTCCTTCTCCTTCTCCTTCTCCTTCTCCTTCTCCTTCTCCTTCTCCTTCTCCTTCTCCTTCTCCTTCTCCTTCTCCTTCTCCTTCTCCTTCTCCTTCTCCTTCTCCTTCTCCTTCTCCTTCTCCTTCTCCTTCTCCTTCTCCTTCTCCTTCTCCTTCTCCTTCTCCTTCTCCTTCTCCTTCTCCTTCTCCTTCTCCTTCTCCTTCTCCTTCTCCTTCTCCTTCTCCTTCTCCTTCTCCTTCTCCTTCTCCTTCTCCTTCTCCTTCTCCTTCTCCTTCTCCTTCTCCTTCTCCTTCTCCTTCTCCTTCTCCTTCTCCTTCTCCTTCTCCTTCTCCTTCTCCTTCTCCTTCTCCTTCTCCTTCTCCTTCTCCTTCTCCTTCTCCTTCTCCTTCTCCTTCTCCTTCTCCTTCTCCTTCTCCTTCTCCTTCTCCTTCTCCTTCTCCTTCTCCTTCTCCTTCTCCTTCTCCTTCTCCTTCTCCTTCTCCTTCTCCTTCTCCTTCTCCTTCTCCTTCTCCTTCTCCTTCTCCTTCTCCTTCTCCTTCTCCTTCTCCTTCTCCTTCTCCTTCTCCTTCTCCTTCTCCTTCTCCTTCTCCTTCTCCTTCTCCTTCTCCTTCTCCTTCTCCTTCTCCTTCTCCTTCTCCTTCTCCTTCTCCTTCTCCTTCTCCTTCTCCTTCTCCTTCTCCTTCTCCTTCTCCTTCTTCTTCTCCTTCTCCTTCTCCTTCTCCTTCTTCTTCTCCTTCTCCTTCTCCTTCTCCTTCTCCTTCTCCTTCTCCTTCTCCTTCTCCTTCTCCTTCTCCTTCTCCTTCTCCTTCTCCTTCTCCTTCTCCTTCTCCTTCTCCTTCTCCTTCTCCTTCTCCTTCTCCTTCTCCTTCTCCTTCTCCTTCTCCTTCTCCTTCTCCTTCTCCTTCTCCTTCTCCTTCTCCTTCTCCTTCTCCTTCTCCTTCTCCTTCTCCTTCTCCTTCTCCTTCTCCTTCTCCTTCTCCTTCTCCTTCTCCTTCTCCTTCTCCTTCTCCTTCTCCTTCTCCTTCTCCTTCTCCTTCTCCTTCTCCTTCTCCTTCTCCTTCTCCTTCTCCTTCTCCTTCTCCTTCCTCGTCATCATCATTGTCGTCATCGTGGTCGTCATTGTGGTGGTGGTGGTCGTCGTCATCATCTTTGTCGTCATTGTCGTCATCTTCATCGTCATCTTCTTTGTCATCGTCTTCTGCTTTTTCTGCTTCTTCTTCGTCGTCGTCTTCATCGTCGTCTTATTCGTTGTCGTCATCTTCTTCTGCTTCTGCTTCTGCTTCTTCTTCGGCATCGTCTTTTTCGTCGCCGTCTTCTTTATCGTTTTCTTCATCTTAATCTTCTTCGTCATCTTCGTCTTCTTCGTCGTCGTCTTCTTCTTCATTGTCGTCGTGTTTTTCGTCGTCTTCTTCGTCCTCGTCTTCTTCGTCGTCGTCGTCTGTTTCGTCATCTTCTTCATCCACGTCTTCTTCGTCGTCTTCATCATTGTCATCTTCTTCATCATCGTCTTCTTCATCATCTTCTTCTTCTTTTTCTTCTTCATCATCATTGTCATCTTCTTCATTGTCGTCTTCTTCCTCTTCGTCATCGTCTTCTCTTCTTGTCTTCTTCTTTGTCATCATCTTCTTTTTCGTCATCGTCGTCTTCTTCGTCGTCTTTGTCTTCTTCGTCTGTTGTCGTCTTCATCATCTTCTTCATCGTCATCTTCATCGTCTTCGTCATCTGTTGTCTTCTTCGTCTTCTTCATCGTCTTCTTCGTTGTCATCATCTTCGTTGTTGTCTTCTTCTTCATCGTCGTCTTCTTTTTGTCGTCATCTTCGTCATCGTCTTCTTCTTCGTCCTCGTCTTCTTCTTCGTTGTCGTCATCTTTTTCGTCGTCTTCTTCGTCCTCGTCTTCTTCGTTTTCTTCTTCATCATTGTCATCTTCTTCGTAATCGTCTTCTTCATCATCTTCTTCTTCGTTTTATTCTTCATCGTCGTCATCGTCTTCTTCATTGTCATCTTCATCTTCTTCTTTGTCATCGTCGTCGTCTTCTTCGTCCTTGTCTTCTTCTTCGTTGTCGTCTTTTTCGTCGTCTTTTTCGTCATCTTTTTCGTCCTTGTCTTCTTCGTCATCGTCTTCTTCATCATTGTCATCTTCTTCATCGTCTTCATCATCTTCTTCTTTGTTTTCTTCTTCTTCATCGTCGTCATCGTCTTCTTCATTGTCGTCTTCATCTTCTTCTTTGTCGTCTTGTTCTTCATCGTCATCATCTTCCTCTTCATTGTCGTCTTCTCTTCTTGTCTTCTTTGTCGTCATCTTCTTTTTCGTCGTCGTCTTCTTCATCTTATTCATCGTCATCTTCGTTGTCTTCGTCTTCTTCGTCGTCTGTTGTCGTCTTCTTCGTCATCTTCATCATCTTCTTCGTCGTCATCTTCTTTGTCATTGTCTTCTTCGTCATCGTCTTCTTCTTTGCCGTCATCTTCATCGTCGTTTTCTTCATCGTCTTTTTCTTCATCTTCGTCGTTGTCTTCTTCTTTGTCGTCGTCTTCTTCCTCTTCTTCATCGTCTTCTTCGTTATCGTCATCTTCTTCATCGTCGTTGTCTTCGTTGTCTTCTTTGTCATCATCTTCTTCGTCTTCTTCGTCTTCTTCTTCGTCGTTGTCTTCTTTGTTTTCTTTGTCATCTTCTTATTCTTCATCATCGTCTTCATCTTCTTCGTCGTCTTCTTCTTCTTCATCATCGTCTTGTTCTTCTTCTTCGTCGTCATCTTTTGTGTGTGGTCAGTACCGATGCTCATTCTTCAAGTTCTCACTCTTCAGGAAACAGGGACTGCTTGGCCTGTATTC